TTTAAAAAAAAAAACAAAAAAAAAAACATTGGGCTATGAACATAATGTTCTTCTATTAATATTGGCGTAGATAGGGTTAGTGCCACCCGGGGCAGGCGAGCTTTTTGCCGCCCCAATACACGGAAAAAAAGCTCCTGCAGTGTGTCCAAAATGCCCCCCCCCCTCCATATAAGAAAAATAGTATCGCCCGGGACGAACCGCCCCCCTTGTAGTCCCCCTGCGTACGCCACTGATGGGCGCTCCACGCTTTAAACAAAATTCATATACTGTAAGAACTCTGAAGTTTTGGGGAACATTTAAAAAAAAAAAAATTTTAGTACATTTTTGGAAAAGGGTATTTGTAAAAAAAAGCAAAAAACTTTTTTTTTTTTTTTTTAAATTTTTACTTTTTTTATTTTTGAGCCTGTTGGCGACAGTTTAGTGATGACCTTTCTGTGACAGTTTAGTGATGACCTTTCTGAGACAGTTTAGTGATGACCTTTCTGTGGTAAAAATGTTGTTGTCATCGTTGTTTGTTATCGGGAACGAATAAAACGTGCATAAGGAAACGCTGCAGTGAAAATCCGATGCCCTTATCACTTTCCGTTCCTGAGATATCCACAGAGGTCACTCATGGGTCAGCGGGGAGTCATTTGATACAGAATGGATGACGAAGGATTGTAGGGTTGTCGGGGGTGGGTAGGTGGACAAAGATTCATCTTCAATGAAGCTCGGGAAATTGGTCCAAATCTAGGTGCACGATTTTACCCACAGAGGTCACTCAAGGGTCAGTGGAGGTCACTGGTGACCCGGTGATCCTGTAGGGATTCAGTAACCATGCACAATTTCGAGCCATTCAAACGAATGGAACAGGTCAAACGCCGAGTTGCACGATTTGACCAAGACAAACCGACAAACATTTTTGAAAACACTAAAAATCGCTGGCCTAACACAAGCCTGTGACAAGAAAGCACGCCAACGAATACAAGAGTTTTTCCCAAGTCAAATGAGAAGATGGGTATTTTGTCACCTAAGTTCAGCGATGCAATCCAGTGTCTTGTTGGTCAAAAAAAGAAACGATAGCTATTCCGAAGGGAGTGAAACAATGCACCGTTATAAATGTGACACTTTCGTGGGTAAAATTTGAGCGGATAAAATGAGTCAATTTCAACTTAAATGAGCGTTATGCTAATTCAAAAGTTTTTTTTTAAACAATCTTTATCCGTGCAACAAATGTTAGCAAATATAAGTTTGGCTATTACCGTATTTATCGGCGTGTAACACGCACTTTTTCTCCCTGAAAATAGGAGGGCAAATGATGTGTGCGTGTTATGCGCCGATATAATGTTAAGGACCCATAGTACATACCGCATAGCGGCGCGAATGGTGCGTGTTATACGCCTGTGCATGTTATACGCCGATAAATACGGTACTTTGACTATGAAACGGTGGCAAAGCCATCATGGCCCTTTACAGAGGGTTTGTTTATAAAAAAAAAAAATGGCAAGTCATTTAAAAGGCAGGTGACAGTTTATATCTCCTGGTACAAAGAAACTGAAGGCATAAACTTTTCACCCAACGCAGTTGCCAACAGGATCTCAGATTCAGCAGCTAATGTGTAGAAACCACTCACTGAAACGATTAAGGACTTTGATGCACTTTTCGATTGCTCCCAATGAGAGCACAGACGCGTCTGGGGCGTGTCATATTTCGCGCAATGTGCTGTGTTCATCAGAGGTGTAGGCACCAGCTTAAATCTGACAGAAGACTTTCTATATTTTACACCATTGAAGGGTGCTACAACTGTACGGGATATATTTCTTCAATCCCTGGAAAATGCATTGAGAACTATGGCTCACCATGGGTTAAACCTGTATATTTGGCCGCGAACTTCGCATCGTCGATGTCTTTTCAAACTGTAGGGGTAATTGGAGTGGTGAAAAAAACAACAACACCAACTAAACAGCCTTGAAACAATAGAAATCAATTTCACTAGTACACATTGTACTTTGTCTCAAGAAGCCCTTTGTAGTATATTTCCACAAATGAAACAAGTGATTGATATAGTAGTTAGAACAATCAACTTTATACGTTCCGAATCACAAAGAGGGCACATCATTTCTCACTGAACTTCTTTATTCACACTGAAATTAGGTGGCTGAATCGCGGAATCGTAGAAATGTTTTGATGCGCATTTTTAATGAAATGGCTTCATTCTTGAAAAGGAAACATAAAGCAGTTCCTTTTCTGACTGATTCTACGTTTCATTGCGACCCAGCTTTGCTAACAGATATTACGGATTCCCTGAAAGCACTGAACGCGAAGCTTCAAGGCGAACAAAAAAGCCAACAGATTACGAAACGAAACAGATTTATGACAACGTGAAATCGTTCAAAGTTAAAATACGTAACATGATGAAGCAGCTGTGTGAGAGCAATTTTGCCCATTTCTCAACTCTGAATTCTTGAGGAAATGTTGAACCCAAATGCTTGAAAGAATACACATCGTTGGTGTCTGACTTACCACAACCGTTCAATGTGCGCCTTGACAACTTTATGGCACTGGAGCCTAAATTTAAATGTTTTCTCAACGTCATTTGTTTTAGAAGCTGACAATGTCACAAATGAATAGCAAATGGAATCGGTGGAACATCAGTGGGTTAGCATCTTGAAGCAGAAATATGCAGGAGTGGAGATTCCGTCTTTCTCCATATCAAGAAAAAGTGACACCTTGGTGGACCACCCCATCCGCCACCCCCCCCCCCCCCCCCCCTCTCCCCCCCATTCTATGCCACTGACAAATTCGTAGCTAGCGTGTTTAGCGACAGGGACAAGATTCAATTTTATATTTTACGCCAGACCCCCACCCCTACCCCTTTTTCAACTCTGATACCCATTATTTTCATCTTTTATTTTCATCCATTATTATTATTACTGTTTTATTACTGTATTATTGACATGAGTAGTAGCCTTGACTTGAGTAGTAACTTTGACTTGAGTAGTAGCCCTGACTTGAACTCTATTTTCTTTAAAGTAGGGACAAGCTGCTCAATTCTTCATTATTTCAACCATTAAATACAATCAAATCCAATTCTGGCGCCCTCTGAAAGTCTGGCACCCAGGGACATCTGTCCCCCTCTTTACCCCCTTAGATACGCCTCTGGCCAGTGACACTGCCCAACTTAAACTCTGATATAGGAAATTTTCTGAAAGGAACACTCTATAAAAGGACTCCATGAAAACTGATGTTAAACTAAATGAACAGGATACATCTGTTTAGCATTGTTGCATTGTTTAACATTTAGTAGCTGGGAATAAATCGTAGCTAATAGCTGCTGTAACCAATACGTGTTACATTTGACTGCCCCCCCCCCCACACACAGCCCCTTCTCTTTCTTAACCCACTAACGTGTCAATTCGAGCCTTTCCTTCTACAGGTCACACAACTTTTTAAGTCCTAAAGTCATACAAGGAATGAAATGTAAAAGGATTATTACATTACATTTAAAGCTAAACGAAGTGTACCACTATGCTGTGAGGTCTACAAGGACATTTAAATAAAACCATTTTTTTTTACACGCGTCCTGAGCCCCGAATAATGGTTTGTCTGTCTTCAACATGTCTGTGTCCACTTGTTCGTTACAACAGAAAATGACAATGATCCAGGCATGTATGGAGTTAACGCTGTGTTCAATAAGGCGCTCAAAATAAAATTATCAGAGGTTAGCAATAAGTGGGTTATAAAGTGCGTTACTTGGGTGCATGTTTAGCCCAGCCGTTGTAGTAGATGGGACGTTCGCATACTGCCACCGCCATTGTTTTTTTTTTTTTGTTGTTTTTTTTTGGGGGGGGGGGTTGGGTTTTTTATTATTGTTTTTTTTTTTTCGTTGCGTTAAAAATAAGTCTGAACTAATTGCTGACAAGAATTATAAAGATGTCTCGAAAGGACCATTTCATTTTTAAGGGATTTTAATTTCCCCTTCAAATCTGATTTGGGGAAAATAGATTGACACGTCGTTTTCACATAGGACATTTAAAGATTTATTTTTAATTATTCTCTTGAAATTCAGACATGGGAAGCCTCTCCACAGCGTCTTGAGTAATGTCCTCGCTTAGAAATGAATGACCGAAGCTACAAGAGAATTTAAACCAGAGACGGAACGAACTTTGATTTTCTGATTTCGGTCGAAACCGAAACCAAAACGAAAGATGAAAATTATTTTCCGCCAAAAACGAAGAAGAAATCAAAAGCCTACGAGACTTTCAGCCGAAAAACAATGACTTAGATATTTTGAAATTCCTTCGCGTATTCATTTTGTGTACGCCTAAAGATAATGAGAACAGAGGGGGGGGGGGAAGCATCTATATTTATCATTTAAAAATGTAATAAAATGGAAATGTCCTGAATTTGAACATGTAAACATCTAATGAATTTTTTGGCTTTTACCATTTGAATTAAAAAGGTAATTTAATGTTGTTAAAATGTATTTTAAAGTAATATCGTAAGAGAAAATTTTGACTTGGAAAAAGAGTGGGGTGGGTGGGGGGCCGCAAAACTCATGTTAAATAGCCTCCTGACGTCATTTGCTTTTATTATATAATTACAAAGCCATTTGGTATCGCTCGAAAACTTAGCCTATGTATTTTTTTTATTGGTATGGCACACTAAAATGTCCAGACATAAGCCTTGAAGGAAATTTTTCATTAAGCTAAACAATTCAATTTTGTTGAAACACGTCTTCTCATTGGTGGACATTAAAATTTAAAATTATTTTTCGTTTATCGGCAATTATCATTGGTCGGAAATTTTATATTTGACCCAGATTAGACAAAAGTTGAACGAATGTTGAGCTACGTTTAGTATGATAACACAGTAGGCCTACTACCTAATTATTATACACCACTGTGTTACGTGTACAAGTTTGTGTAGGCTTACGATTAAAATTAAAGGCTATTTTAGTTTTATGCCAACTACAGAAAATGTAAATAAATAATGATATTATACACGTGACCAATGTTGTGGTGGAATATATTAATTTTTTATTTCTTGAATGACAATATTTATCAGCATGATAATAATACATTTCAATAAATGAATGAATTTAATAAGCCTAAGGTTCCCTAATTCTAATTTGGACAACAACAAAAAATTAAAACATTAGCAATGTTACCATTCCCTCAGATTTTTATCCACGATACTATTTCCCTTTGCCCATGATAATGATATACCAAAATGAGTGTCACAAATGAATGACTTGAAGAAACCTAGGGTTTCAATAAAACAAAAATAATGTATAGAAACAAAAATAATGTATAGAAATATCTACCTTCCATTAGTTTTTATTTTCCACAAAACTATTTACAAAACTAATACGCCCAAGCCTAATTGAAAATTTATTTTTTGAAATATTGGACAAGTAGGTCAACATGCTGGCGTGAGCAGTGTTCACAGAGGATTAGTCCTATGTCATACGATGACAGGAAGACGTCAAGCAATAATGCGCATATCGGATTGCCGGCCAACAGACAGACAGAGTGAAAGTCTAACTTCTGGTAGACGCCCAAAAAGCCTCTATCACTTTCGGCCATAACCAAAAATGAACCGAAAGTTCACATTTTGTTTCGGCAGAAACCAAAATTACGTCAAAAGAGATCAATTTATGGCAACTTTCGAAAGCATAAACTTTGGAGAGGCTCTCAAGTAGCAAAATTCCCCGTTCAATAATCTTATAATGAGTTGAATGCTGTCCTCGTCTTGTTGCTTGTCCGCCAACAGCTACGAACATTTCTGCATCCTGAATTCATAGAAAGGAAAACAGCTCTCTAATCGCCCCGGTGATGGTTTAAATTGGTCGATTGCTGACTTTATGATGTCAAAAATGCCTTTTTTTAACTAAATAATGGGGGCTCCGATAATTTTGCAGGTCTTTATCTTTGAGCCCGATCAAACCTAAATCTCTAGAAACTTATAATTTCTTTTTTTTTTTTTTTTTTTACTAACAAATTCCCAAGATAATTATTTCACGTAGAGGAGTTTTTCAGAAAAAAGATATCAACAGGTATAGCAGTCAAATCTACTGGAATGTGTGCATTGGCTGACTTGGACATGTTGTAACCATGAGCGTTCATGAAGGCTAGGATCACTTTACCGTCTTCTGGAAGTCGCTGAAGCCATTCCATCTGGACTATTTTAATATCGACTTCTTTAAAAAATTCATCCGCGCACTGGAGCGCGAAGTGCTCACTGTTTTCAATGTCCATTTTAAGATAGACCCTCGTGTTCCTGACCAGTGGGACCAAGTCGTTCATACATATGGTTTTGACGGTAACTTTTGCTGCTTTATCGTCTATGTCATCAAGTGTGTTGGACACGTTCAGTCGGTTACCTCCGATGTTTTCTCTGGAACAAATAGTAAAATTAGAGCTTCATAATAATATAAATTAGACACAAAGAATTTGTTTAAATAAAACAATATAGGTTCAATTTAATGATGATTATACAAAATAAAAATTTAGACGTTTCGGCAAATGTCTTCGTTGGTACAAAAAACAACAGCCCGTAAATATACGTATAATTTAGATTTTCATAAAATGTATATATACATGTATCCTAAACCACAGAAAAAGAGAGAAAAGAATAAGAGTGCGAGCAAAACCATGAGAAAAACGAAGTTCAGACGAAATGAAAGCAAGTGAGTGGAAGTAAAAGGAAAAAAAAAACAAACAAGAAAAAGACATGAAAGCTACGTAAAATTGTGGATTTGGTTTATACCGTATGGAGTCAACGTTCCAAGTCTTGTTATTGATTTATTTTCCATATACATGTTATCTTGTGCATTACTTGCATACAATATACCAGCTCCGGTAACTGCAATGTCTAAAATTCCTTTATGTTTAGTACCATTGAAATGTTTGGAATCTGGAAAAGTTTATTTATGCTGTAAAGGTATTCTCCAAACCGGTCTCCAAGGCGACGATCTGTCTCTCCTACATATAATTTACCGCACTCATTACAATGGATGGTGTAAATCACGTTGCGACATGTGCATGTAAAGCCATATTTGATTCTAAGTATTCCCAGGGGGCAAGTGATCTTGTCAAATTTAATCACGTAGGGACATTTGTTACAGTGGCTACGGTTGCAACTTTTTGTGCTTATATGTGCGGTAATAACAGGAAGGTAGCTTCTAACAATCATGTCCCTATGGTTCTCGTCCTCCTTGAAAGCAAAAACGGGAGGGTTTTTTTTGGTTGAAAATCTCATTGTTGACAGGGTATGCCATAAGAATGAGCCGGTTTTTTGAGAACCAGAAAACGAGCTTTAATAAGAGAAGAGAAGCAGTTGAAATGAAATGAATCATCATGCCGTCAATGAAATTTAAAATCCAATCCCTTCACTAAATTTCTAGAACCTCAGCCTTGATTGACGGTCTCCACTTACTTCATGAACTTGACCCCAAGCTCCCTGTGGTCACTGTACACGGCGTTGTTGACAATGGTCACCATGGAGGTGAGATTACTGAGCTGTAGGGACATTTGCAGCAGTTGGATATTGGTCATCATCATCTCCACAGACAGGACGTGTCGGCCAACCGCTGCCGCACAGAGGGAGAACTGACCGATGTTGCAACCTAGATCAACCAATTGGAGACTTGGGTCAGCCTTTGGGTTGAACATTGAAACAAATTATGTGATATATTTAATGAACATATGGTTTTTTCAGGGTTTGATCCATAAATCTTAAGAAGAAGCTTCCATAAATATCCTACCACTGTGACCATGGCTCAGAAAAAATGAAGGAGGCAGGATGATGGGAGATCTGGGAGGGTTTCAGGGAGACACCGAGTTAATTAGGTGGGATGGTTCCACGGATGTCTGAGATGGTATGTCTGAGATGGTATGTCTGAGACGGTATGGCTGAGATGGTATGTCTGAGATGGTATGTCTGAGATGGTATGTCTGAGACGGTATGTCTGAGACGGTATATCTGACACGGTACGTCTGAGACGGTACATCTGATACGGTGTGTCTGTGAGTTTGTATGTCTGAGTGTGTAGGTCTGATCGTGTGTAACTTCAATGCAAGTCGGACGGTACCCAGCTAATAACATTAACTGTTTCACATAAATGGACATCACCCAAACATTAAACGATATTGTTTGGATGACACTGAAACGTTCGCTGTTTGACATCGCCATGGGAAGACTGGTCAAGACAGTTTACAATCGCAGCCATCCGATGTTGATTTCGACGCTCGGCGTCAGGATGACAAGGTAAAAATGTTTGCCCTTCAATAAAGATAATAATAATAATAATAATAATAATAATAATCTAAAGCCGTATTGGCAAGAATCAAAAAAATTCTGGTCAAAAGAATTTACCTTAAAAGCATTTAACATTTCTTGTACCAAATTCGCTTCCCACAAATTTCCTGCCTAGTAAAAAAAATGGTTTAAGTTAAGTTACTTAAAAAAAAATTCTTCATAAAGTATAAATGAATTTTCATTATTGACATAACACAGCTGGCTAGAAAATATATGTGGTATAAATCATTATAAACACAAAATTCTCCAATTCATCATCATCACCTTTCAGATGCAGTGGCCATTTGGGAAGGTGTCCTTCGACCTAGATATGATGGGCTGTCTACTTTTTGGATTATGGGGCCTTGTAGGGATAGTGTAGTGTTCTGTGTGGCTACCTTGTAGGGATAATATAATGTTCTGAGGCTACCTTGTAGGGATAATATAATGTTCTGTGAGGCTACATTGCGGCTTTTAGTGAAGACTGAGTATACTTTCTTGGTGTCGTTTACTTTCAGTTTCCACTTTGTACAGTAGGTACTGAGCCCGATCATGTCTTGGGGAGACGCCTTGCACTTACACCTGTGTGTCGGCACGTATGCCACACCACAAGATCATCTGCATAGAGTGTGCTCTCCACCCGTACCTCATCAGGTATATCATAAAAGAACATTGGGAATAGGGTACAACTCACTGACAAACCTTGCTGGAGCCCATCTTCCAGGATGCTCTTTGATGAGGTGAAGTTATTTATTTTGTTAGGACAGTGCTCAGCAGCAAGAAAGAACCTTGACCATTTGGACAGCTTGCAACGAATCCCTGCATCGTTGAACTTCCAAAGAAAACCCTTTCGCCAGACTTGACCATGGGCCAAGGAGGGCGACAAAGACGGCTATGCTTTGCTTTATTTGGGTTGGCAGCCATTTAAGTTAGATCATTTGACTCGGGCGAAAGAGTTTATTACCAGGGTGTCGTTGAGCTCTGTGGCCAACACAATGTTTGTCTGTGCCCCTTTATTTCTCTTGGCTGTCTTGATAGCCATTTTTGCTTTGGCTGTATTTTGATTTAGAATTATTTTATGTTCAGTAGTTGGATTATTTTCTCCTGCAACCTCTTGCGCTACCTAGGGAGGCAGTTTCCAATATAGCTTTGATATGTGTTAGCATACTGCTATGGTGTTGTTTTGGTTTATTTCACCAAATAGTTCACTTCTTGCTTTACACGAATCACAGTTGAATTTGTTTTTAAATTACAGCAGGTTGTTGTTTTAAAATTCTTTTGATTTAATGTTGCTGGCGTCACTAGAATGGGTCTGTGATTCTTCTTCTTCTTCTTTATTTTAAGGGCCCACGATCAATGAATTGATCATTCTGGCTCCTATGTTTCAGAGGGGTTTGCGATGTTACTGTCCATGGGTTTCGATGGGATACTTCACTGGTTGCAAGGGCGACTCAGCAGTGGTGTTATGAACTGGGGGTTGGAATACAGGAGGCAATAGACACAAATGTCTCGAGTGTAGCCGCCTCAACTGTTGCTTTTGGAAGCTTTTTCCAGTCCCCTATTGTCTTCGGCAGGAATGAGGAGCTTCTGTACTTTGTTCTTGTTTTTACCAGCCGGAATTGTTTGTCGTGACTTCGTCGCAGTCTAGGGGGAAGATGAACGAGTTTCTGTTTGATTGCTACCAATGCCGTCCAGCACGTCACAGGTGCCGTGCCATCTGTAGTAAGTCTGGGGAGAGGAAGTTAGGTCAGGTCTGCCGAGTATTTTATGAGCTCTGTGTAGAATAGTGGGTGTCGACTGTGTGTATAGTGGATAGATTTGCAGAGTTACAGAGTTCTTCTATTCCCTTCGTTGTTGTAAATTTGTAGAGGTTAAAATCGCCGGAAATTCCGGTCTTCTTCTTATATTTGAGGGCCCACGATAAATGTGTTGATCATTCTGGCTCCTGGTTTGAATTCAGAGTTTGCCTTCTCTTAGATGAGTTGCCATCCAAGGCTAACGAGTCCCATCCACCCGGGGTGCTGGTGATGTTGGCTTTGGTGTGGATTGAACTCCAGACCACCAGTTTGAGACAGTTTAGGCCGCTCGGCCACCCTGCAACCCAATCTTCGAGTCTTCGAGTATTGTGTGCTCTCTAGGTGGGCAAAGATGCAGTTATTTCTTGGAGGTTGTACGAGTCAAAGACTATATTATTTACATTATTTAAATATGTGTGATCTGATCTGTGGGATTTGCCTCAACCTGACCTTGGGTGTAATATCTTAGGTAGCTGATGATGCTCCTATATTGCACTTGCAGTTGTGATGATGCAGTTGTAATAGCCATACCCAGTGATGATGCCCCCCTACAGCCATGGCACTAGTGTAATAAGCTTACTCTGTGACGTGTGGCTCCGTTTTGTTGGTGCACAGTTTCTCCCAGTACCAACATATGTATTTGTCTCATGCGCAGGGGGTAGGAGATCTCTACGTTTTTAACTGCTATCCAGCATACTTTGATTTTCATGAGAATTAAAAGTGTGTTTGTGTTTTGTGCTTGTGTTTGTCAACACATTCATTTTTTTGTACAATTTAAACAAGGTCAGTGCTGACGTGTGATGTCATAGTTCACATTCCTTATTTCAAAACTGTTAATCAATTCGAAAAAAGCAGATACATATTTAATCATCCGTCTGAAAATGATTGACTGCGGAATACCAAATTGTGACCTTAATCAGACTGTGCCTGACTGGTGTTAATTACAATTAATTTATTTAAAGATTAATATATCAATATGCATATAATAACAAAACTACCAGCTTACTTTCAAAGTGCCCGACACTCACAACTACCAGCTTACTTTCAAAGTGCCCGACAAAAACAACTACCAGCTTACTTTCAAAGTCCTCCACACCCACAACTAACAGCTTACTTTCAAAGTACCCGACACCCACTTGTCATCGTTGACAGGATGCACACAAATGTACAGGCCCTGTCTTATAGATCCGGGCATGTCAATACAGTCTTTATGTTGTAGAACGAGTTGACCTTGTGACTTAGATGGGACGATGTTTACATCCGGGTTCAAGGAGCTTAGATCACGTTTCTCCTGAATACCATTCAAAAATTTGAGATCCATTCCACCATGTGCAGAATACTGATAACGGAAGAAAAGACAAGAATCATATAAGTAGTGAAGTGTGCAGTGGGGTGACGTTTACAGTCGGGCGAAGCGACCTTAGACAAAGCTGCTTCGGAGGACACACCATCCGACCACAAGGTCACTAACGTTTCTCAAAATTAAGACATACCTTCATAACACACAAATTTTGTGACCCCTGAATCGCCCCCCCCCCCACCAACACCCCCTCAACCGTTTTATTTCTGTTTTCGAAACGTCACGTCCTATTATGAACTCCCCTGGGCCATTAAAAAAACACCTAATTTTAAAGCTACAACGGGAAGGCACTAAAAGACAGTTGATAAGAGTGTATACAATACCAGGACCAAAATATGTATTAAAAAAAAATTTATTGTAGGTACTGAAGCCCCCTGATAATCGTTATCATTAAACTACGTTTACTAAAGCTGTTGCACGGGAAATGAAACAGGATACACTAAATATCTTTCGTCATCTTTGTGTCCGTAGTGGGGAAAGTGGAATGGCAAAAAAACACTTCGAAAAAAATATTTAATCTAAGCCATGGTGGATGGTGGGGGTGGGGAGGGGGTAGAGAGAAAGAGAGAGATAGAGAGAGCTGAGTGAGAGAGAGATGGTGATGATTTTTTTATTTTTTTTTGTGGGGGGGGGGGGGGGGGCTATTTCTGTAGCTTGTAGCTACAGTCATTGCACATACGGGAAAAAAACAAACAAGTAAATCAAATTTTGCGTTAAGCTCAGCAATGTCCGTTAACGGAATCCCCCAACTCCTCCCTCACCCCACCACGCCATTTTTTGTTGTTGTTGTTGTGGGGGTGAGGTTAAAGTATCCATATACTTCATCAGTCTTTCGTATCCATATACTTCATCAGTCTTTCGTATCCATATACTTCATCAGTCTTTCGTATCCATATGCTTCATCAGTCTTTCGTATCCATATACTTCATCAGTCTTTCGTATCCATATACTTCATCAGTCTTTCGTATCCATATACTTCATCAGTCTTTCGTATCCATATACTTCATCAGTCTTTCGTATCCATATACTTCATCAGTCTTTCGGTCAACATTGTTTAAGTTGGGCATGTATTTTTATTTCAATTACAAACATTCAACTGGCGGTGGAGAGTAGGTCAGTGAAAGTGACCAAGCACTCTTAACAAAAAACGTGAAATCGTCTTTCATATGGTGCCGAGGCAGATCAGGTGATGTTGGCGGCCAGGTGGAGGGTTGGGGGAAGAGGAGAGGGGTTTTCTAGAATTTTTCGTCTATAAAAAAAGAAGAAAAAAAAAAAGGAAAACTCATGGCAACGACAATAATGACAATGTATAATTCTCTGCCTACTGTTTTATTCTCGCCCGCAGCAATATTCCACAGGATCTATTCTGACATGTCGGTCAATGCTCTGTGAACAAACAAACATTCAATCACACAGAACGACACCTACTTGTGCTTTTTGTAGTTGATTATCAACGCGGTCGACGTGGTTTCTCATTAGCGACACGGCCAGGTAGGCCAGCACAAGGACGGCCACAACAGCAACGGTCTCTTTAAGTATGTTCAGGGCCCGCATCCTGCATCGGGGGGAAAATCTGTGGGAGGGCGAAAAAGGGATATTTTAATGATTCTTGCTGCTTTAAAAAAAAAAAAAAAAAAAAAAGGGCAAGTATTTTTNCATTTGACTTTGCACGAACAACGTCTTTTTTTTTCAACTTATTTGTATTCTTTAAACAAAACTATGTGGTTACGTATGTTTAAGAAAGAGACAGACAGTTATACGTTGACCAAGAAACACAACCATTTTCATACGTTTTAAAAACATAGATTTTTGTAAAACTCTTTCAGTTTGATTCGATTTTTTTTTTGTTTTCTATGCACGATGTGATCATTAGGACCGAGAAGAGAATTCCACGCGGCCTTCGTGCCATTTTATTTAAATTGCAATGACAAGTTAGAGCCAAGTTTCCTAATTGTGTTCTTCAGCCGGCATACTTGATCAGTGCTTCCTTTATTTTTTAACTGTTATGCAGTTGGTTTTCTTTCTCTTAAGTTTTTTTTACAGAAAATAATTGCTTTAATTTTGCCTGATTGGAATTTAAAAAAAAAAAAATGTCCAACTGATCATTCATTTCTTTATTCAGCCAAATTAAATCCGTCTGTTTTTTTGTTTTTCCCCCCCCCCCCCCCCCCCCCGCAATCAGCATTTAGTCAAACTGCGTCACAGAATGGGTGGGTGCATTTTAGGAGGATAGCCTTATCCCAGAGGCGTATATTTGTTACACACTAAATAACCTCAGTCCATAGAACTTTCCTCTTTTTTTTTAAAAATAATTGTTTAAATATTTTTAAATCCTTTATAGATTAACTTAACTTTTGTTCGTGGCTGGCAAAATCTTCGGGCGGGTAACTTGGCACATAGACACGTCACCGATGACAAGCCCATTCTGTCCAATTTTCAGCGGCGTAAAAGGTGGTGGGTCATTAGAATTTTAATATAGTTCAGGGGCGTGAGAAAAAAATGTGTGGTCCCCCCCCCCACCCCTCTCCCCAAGGTTCGCAACCACACATTTTATTTCTCACGCCCCTGAACTGTATTAATATTCTATTCTAATTAGGATTCTTATAAAGTGTGTTACTTGAAAATTTCTCTTATATTTGTATCCGATTTCAATAGTAAAGTTTTAAATTTCTCTTATATTTGTATCCGATTTCAATCGTAAACTTTTAAATTTCTCTTATATTTGAATCCGATTTCAATCGTAAACTTTTAAATTTCTCTTATATTTGTATCCGATTTCAATCGTGAACTTTTAAATTTCTCTTATATTTGAATCCGATTACAATCGTGAACTTTTAAATTTCTCTTATATTTGTATTCGATTTCAATCGTGAACTTTTAAATTTTAACTTGACAATATATGTGATGAATTATTAAAAGTTCACTATCTTAGTGATATCAAACCGTCACGTTATAGAGAGGGGCCCCTAAGGGGTCATTATTCTAACTTAAATAAAAAAAAAAATAAAAAAAAAAAACCAAACAAAAAACGTCATGGAGTTACGGCACTTTGTTTTAGATGTATTAGTTTTTAAATTTTAAATTGAAAATATATGTGATGAATTATTAAAAGTTCACTATCTTAGTAATATCAAACCGTCACGTTATAGAGAGGGGCCCCTAAGGGGTCATTATTCTAACTTAAAAAAAAAAAAAAAATAAAAAAAAAAAAACCAAACAAAAAACGTCATGGAGTTACGGCACTTTGTTTTAGATGTATTAGTTTTGAAATAATGATTACAATGAAAAGAGTCGCTTCATTTTTATAAGTTATTTGAAAGTGTTTAATTTTTTATAGAATTTTCTCGCAAGTTCTATAAATATTATGAAAATCTCAAAGAGATGCTTTCCTGGGAATTACCTAGGCATCGAGGAAAATATATTTTTGAAGTTTCTTGAAAGTTCTACTTTATACCTTGTTCTGGAACGTACGATTTTTTTATACGGGTTTAAGAATGTGTAAATGCCCTATTTATGTTTGTTCACGTTTATTTTCAAGTCTCTATGATTCCTCAAATGTTATAAAATTTGATTTAAATATATATATATTTTTTTTTTAATTTCCAGAAAGTTATAAAAGAGGATAGTAGGTTCTTCAAAGTATTTTCATGTTGATAGCTGTACAAAACCATACACGAAGGATTGTGTTTCAACGCAAACGTCTACGTAAATAACTGTATCTCTAAAGCCGAACTTGGTAAACATACCTCATATATTCTCTGTTGAAATATCGGTGGATTAGAAACGAATAATATCCACATCTTTCTGCGCGAAAGGGTCACCAATGTGTTTTAAATAAAACAATGCATCTTCAGCGTTTGTCAACACATTCTGATGGCAAAATTTTAACATAACTTTTGTTCGTTGTCCAAACTGAAATACGGATTTTTCAATAGTGAAAATGTAAACGGCTGAATCTTTGTGAAATTCCTTCCGAGTAAGGAACAGCATCAAAAGGGATAAAAGGGCGTACGTAGATGGTCTAGCGTCAACTGCAGAAGAAGCAGCCGGAAACGGGCACAAGAAGGAATTCTATGACCTAACAAGAAATGTCTCAGGAAAATAGAAGAAGCCAGAGAGAACGGTTAAAGACAAGGAAGGTAGATCGATAACGGAACGGAAAAAACCCACTAAAATATTGGTGGAATGCTTTAAGGAATCCCTTAGCAGACCTCCTCCCACAGACACACCAGATACAACCAGTAAATGTAGATTTACAAATAGAATACAGTGTCCCAAATAAGACAGAAATAGTCCTCGCTATCACGCAGCTGATAATAGGGAAAGCATCAGAACCGGATAAAATCACAACAAAGATGATGAGAGCAGATATACATACGATTGTCGACATGCTGCAACTTCTGTTTGAAATGATATGGGAAGAAGAGAGAGTTCCAAAAGATTGGAAAGAAAGATACCTCGTCAAGATGATAATGAAAGGGGATCTCAGCAACTTTTCAAACTACAGAAAAATTACACTGCTGTCTGTACCAGGAATGGTCTTCAACATAATTATTTTGAATAGAACGACCAGGTCAACGCGCAGCTACGAGATCAACAGGCTGTCTTCCGCCGAAACAGATCATGCACAAGTTCTCCTTAAATATTACACTGTATTCAAAACAACTAGATGCACATAATGAAAACTCCTTGCTAAAAGCACACAAGATGGGTTGACACTCCGATCTGAGTTCACGACCATCCTCTCTCAAAACTCTTGAGGAACGCTCCCCTAAAAATGAAATTAGTCTGAGGACAGGAGTTTGTGTGTTAAGTTATAATTGCTATTAAAGATATTATAGAAGTCAAAGGAGATGACTCTGCAAACCAAAGTCAAATTTCTCAACATATATGTCAAAACAGTCCTACTCTATGGAGCCGAAACTCCGGGAACAACAGCGAACATCACGCAGAAAGCACATATCTTCACTAACACTTGCCGTAAGAAGATCCTGAGCATCAAATGGCCAAACACCATCACCAACAAAGACTTACTGGAAAAGAAATACCAAGAGCATATTGCTGAAGATATCGAAAGGAAAAGATGGAGGTGGATAGGGCACATTTATCGTAAATGCCCAGATAACATCACCAGACAACCATGGCGTGATGAAATTTCCAACAACTCCTGCGAAGTAGAACTAATGTAGAGCGAAGTGAAACAGGCAAAAGACACACTGCTGATCATCTACTACATCCTGGTCTATTTCCGGTCGTCTTGACCAAATCTTGCCACTGAAGTGAAGCTGACCAACTGAACAAAATATATCTCAAGTCAAAACTACATTCAAGTTTGAAAATTGCCTTTGTCATCTTCGCGTGCTAATTAGTGCAAACAATAATGATAAACACCAATTAATTAAAACTCGTATCTCACCAATCACCTTCTCACCTTTCTACAATAATGTATAAGGATTCTTAAACTCGGCTGGGGTTATGACGTAAGCCTAGTTTCCCGTGCCAGGTAACACTGGTGGGTGCTCGGTACACACAAAGAGTCACTCATTTGCCCAGGTGAGACCTTTACTCCCCACCCGGCTTAATCCTTAGAGCGCTCCACTTGTTGGTCAATCCCTTGCACCCAGTTACGCTCCACTATCTCACCCCCGCATAGAGCAGACACGGCCAGTGCCTATCGCTATTCTAATTGTTTTTAGGGTTATATCTGCCCCGCCATCTTCCCTCCACCCCACCTTCTCACACGACCGGCACTCCCTCCCCAAGTTCCTGGAGTGTCTTGGTTTTGTTGTTTGTTTTTGCCCGTCTGTTACAAGTGACCTTGTCCTTCTTGGTCTGCAAGTGACCTTGTCCTTCATGGCAAAGTATAGATGCAAGTGGCTTGTCGTTCATTTTCACAGCAAGTATGCCGGTACAAGTAAATTAAAAAAAAAAAATTAAAAAATTAAAAATCAAATATTAAAAATAATGACAAGAAGCAGGGTTTTATCAAACACAACTATAAACACAACCACAAACACAGCTATAAATCAACAAAATTTATTAAATATCGACGTGCAAGAGACGCGCCCCTCTAGAGGTAGGACTGCTTTCATTTATTTATTGTGTCACTCAAAAAAAAAAAACAGTGGGAGAGCTATTCGAAAGGAGGGGAGGTCAGCCGCGGACACATGGTAACACTTGAGATCGAATGAAGGAGTGGGGTATGGGGGCAGAGTGGGGTGCGGGGGCAGAGTGGGGTACGGGGAAGAGTGGGGTGTGGGGGCAGAGTGGGGTACGGGAGAGTGGGGTGCGGGGGCAGAGCGGGGTGCGGGGGCAGAGTGGGGTGCGGGGGCAGAGTGGGGTGCGGGGGCAGAGTGGGGTGCCGGGCGGAGCAGGGTACGGGGCGGAGTAGGGTACGGGGCAGAGTGGGGTGCTGTGGCAGAGTGGGGTGCGGAGACAGCGGACCGCCCCTGTCGACATTTTTTGTTGTTGTTTATATTGAGGAGCGGCATTTTCGAGCAGCTGCAGAGTTGGTGTTGTTGGTATTGTTGGTGTTGTTGGTGTTGTTGGTGTTGTTGGTGTTGTTGGTGTTGTTGGTCTTGTTGTTTTTGTTGTTGGTGGTGTTGCTGTTGTTTTTTTTTGTTTGTTTTTTTTTCATCAAAGGAGGCGGCAAAAACTTGACCTGCCCGGGCCGGCTTTAAAACTGGCAAGGCCACTGGGAGGAAGTCCCTTAAATTCGCCCTGGTAGTAAGCTGTGTATCAAGACCTATAGAATGTATTAAATGGAACGAACTCCACTTAAAGTTGGAATTCCGAAATGAAACCAATAAAAGCTAATGGACAACAAGAAATCGTTGCTCAGTAAATACAAGAGATATAGAGTTTCATTAGATTGACTGACGAGATTGAGTGGACTAATTCATGATCTCCACACGCATATATCAAGGAATAGGGTTACCGGAAATTTGATCGAAAGAAATTTCGTCGACGGTAAATTGATCGACGGTAATTTGATCGAACGGAAACTGGGTCGAATCTATTGTTTTTATTTAACGCGTTAAAATTTTCGTCAAAATTTCTTTTTGAACTCACCATACTATAGAGAGTAAAGAACTCACCATACTATAGAGAGTAAAGAACTCACCATACTATAGAGAGTAAAGAACTCACCATACTATAGAGAGTAAAGAACTCACCATACTATAGAGAGTAAAGAACTCACCATACTATAGAGAGTAAAGAACTCACCATACTATAGAGAGTAAAGAACTCACCATACTATAGAGAGTAAAGAACTCACCATACTATAGATAGTAAAGAACTCACCATACTATAGAGAGTAAAGAATTCACCATGCTATAGAGAGTAAAGAATTCACCATGCTATAGAGAGTAAAGAATTCACCATGCTATAGAGAGTAAAGAACTCAACATACTATAGAGAGTAAAGAACTCACCATACTATAGAGAGTAAAGAACTCACCATACTATAGAGAGTAAAGAATTCACCATGATATAGAGAGTAAAGAACTCACCATACTATAGAGAGTAAAGAACTCACCATACTATAGAGAGTAAAACAAAATAATGAGTTCAAAAAGAAATTTGACGAACATTTAACGTATGAGAGGGGAAAAAACACAACGGATTCGACCAAATTTCGGTTCGATCAAATTACCGTCGATCTATTGACCGTTGACGAAATTTCTTTCGATCAAATTCCCAGATACGCAGCGAATAGCTATTCCCGTCAATGGCACTGACATGTTTCCTAAATTAAATATCGGTTTTAATAACTTACGTGTTTTTTTTGCTTTTTTCAACGATTCTTGCAATCACTCTTCACATGGACGAAAGTGAACCAAGATTGAGTTCTGTGGTATAGAAAACAATATTCAGCAGTCAATCTGCAACAGGATCTTACAATTCAAAACGCCTCCTCCTTCTCCCTTGCCCCCCCCCCCCCAAAACTCACGCTCAAGTGTGACACATTTAACATCTCGCTCAGCCATATAGAGTGTGCTACCATTGGGCGTGTTAACTCCAACTATAAGTGAACCAAGATTGAGTTCTGTGGTATAGAAAACAATATTCAGCAGTCAATCTGCAACAGGATCTTACAATTCAAAACGCCTCCTCCTTCTCCCCTGCCCCCCCCCCCCCAAAACTCACGCTCAAGTGTGACACATTTAACATCTCGCTCAGCCATATAGAGTGTGCTACCATTGGGCGTGTTAACTCCAACTAATAAGTTCAGATCAACGAGATCTCCAACTTAAGTTAACTCAATGGGTTTTTCTAACACGGAAGTTTAAGTCACAAGAAGATGAACACCGAGATATTGAATGGTGCATAGACTATCTCAACGATGAACAATGACATATTGAATGGTGTATAGACCATCACAACGATTAACACCGACATACTGAATGGTGTATGGAATATCTTGACGATGGACATCGACATATTGAATGGTGCATAGAATATCACAACGATGAACACCGATATATTGAATGGTGTATAGAATATCATGACGATGGACATCGACATATTGAATGGTGTATAGAATATCACAACGATGGACACCGACTTATTGAATGGTGTATAGACTATCACAACGATGAACACCGACATAATGAATGGTGTATAGACTATCTCAACGATGAACAATGACATATTGAATGGTGTATAGACCATCACAACGATTGACACCGACATATTGAATGGTGTATAGAAATCATGACGATGGGCACTGACATATTGAATGGTGTATATAATATCTTGACGACGAACACCGACATATTGAATGGTGTATAGTATATCACGACTATGGACACCGACATATTGAATGGTGTATAGAATATCATGACGATGAACACCGACATATTGAATGGTGTATAGAATATCATGACGATGGAAATCGACATATTGAATGGTGTATAGAATATCATGATGATGGACACCGTCATATTGAATGGTGTATAGAATATCACTACGATGGACACCGAAAAATTGAATGGTGTATAGATAACAAGACGATGGTCAACGATATATTGAAGGAAAGGTTTCATATTTAGGTATTTGGTAAAGGAGAAGTGTCAGCATTACGTATTTTTAGAAATAATTAAATCGTGGATGTACCATACCCTAACAGACTGAAAAGGGTAAACTCAGATTCATGAAAATCATAGAAATCCTGTCTCATAGAAGTCGAAACCGATCAGCTATAAACAACAGTTATTGACTGAATTTTTATTGGTGTGATATGAACTCTTCAAGCCGATGTTCTGTGAACTGTACCACTTCCTGACAGCGTGTTGTAAGCTGATGTTCTGTCAACTGTATCACTTCCAGGAATTGTCGTGTAAGCTGCTTTTCTTAGAACTATACCACGTCCAGGCTGTGCCTTGTAAGCTGATGTTCTGTGAACATTACCACTTTCAGGCAGTGTCTTGTAAGTTGATGTTCTGTGAACTGTTCCACTTCCACCTTGTGGCTTGTAACCTGATGTTCTGTGAACTGTTCCACTTCCACCTTGTTGCTTGTAACCTGATGTTCTGTGAACTGTTCCACTTCCAGCCAGTGTCTTGTAAGCTGATGCTTTGTCAACTGTTCCACTTCCAGCTTGTGGCTTGTAACCTGATGTTCTGTGAACTGTTTTACTTTCAGGCATTGTTTTCTAAGCTGATTTTCTGTGAACTATACCACTTCCAAGCAATGTGTTGTAAGTTGATGTTCTGTGAACTGTATCACTTCCGGGCAGTGTGTTTTAAGCTGATATTCTGTGAACTGTACAACTCTCCTAGGCAGTGTGTTGCTAGCAAAGGCTCTGACATTCACAGTTCGCTTCACCAATTAGTCTGGCTCTCTTAATATCACTTCGAGATCAATCTCGGGAAGACTTCTGGGCGCATGTTAAGCAGACGAAAGAGGGATTATCAGGGAATTTTATACTGTACGACTTTAATTTGTCTTAATATCCTATCGGCAGAATATATAACTTCAACGGCCCCGCAAAATTCAATTTGCCCAAGGCTCCGCACCCTACTATCGCCAGCCCTGCTCTCAACTCTGAAGCCTATTATTTTCATTCATTAAATACCATCAAAGCCTATTTTGGTGCCTCCGGTATTTTTTCCGACCGGGGACGTCTGCATTATCTGCCCACCCTCCCCCCCCCCCCCCCCCGAGGATCTTGTCTGAAAGAAACACTGCCGCTAAATCTTCCATATTTTTACTTGCATAACTTTTTATTATATCGACATAAAAAACTTACTTTCAATTATATCGTCATAAATAATCTTACTTTCAATTATATCGTCATAAACAATCTTACTTTCAAATATACCAATATAAAAATCTTATTCTCGAACAAATTCACATACATATTTTATTTTTAACCATGCACATAAGCAATCTGACGCTCCTCGTGGAATTATGCAGTTACGTTACTTTGACATTTATACAGAGGGGTAGGAGCGGTGCACCCGACTACAGACTGGGAACCACCGCACCATGTTCACGCCAAGATCACAACAACAGCAACAACAACAACAAAAAAAGAGACCAAAAAAAAAAAGACTATAAGCCCTGTAAGGATTAACTTGTCTCTGTTGTGGTACTAAATATGTCGGAAATTACCTCTGGACATCCCCCCTCCCACACGAGAAACTTTATAACCCCCCCCCCCCAATT